TTTTTTTTTTTTTTTTTTTTTTTACAAAAGCATCGATTTCCCAACCGATTATAATTATTATAATATCGCTCCAGGTATCAAAGTTCACAGGCAGCAAGAGCCAACAGGCGGATGTAAGTACGTTGCACCGTGCGCGTTCCTTGTTAACCGATGGGAATAGATTTCTGATTCTATCCACAGTCGCTCCACGGACGTTCCTTGTGCCGAGAGAGCACCGCCGGCGAAACGATTTCGCAAAAGGATCGTTTCCACGGCGAGCCCATCGACCGTGTTACCGAAATCTACCACGATATTGTTAACACTCTCCTTTGTCTGCATCTAACGTCATCGTTCGAGCCAAGTCGTTCCGACGATTTAATAATAAAGAGATTAATAAATCGAATCTCTTCCGATACGATCGTCACGGTTTACCGCCGCACCACCGCGGCGATCGCCCGTTTCACAATAACAATAAGTCCGTCAAAGATCGTCGATCGATTACTCGATTACTTGTTACTCGAGAATCGATAGGATTCGTTGTTCCACTTCGAAGCTGTCGTTCTCACCTTACGGGAAGAGAATTTTTGGCAATCAGTCGATTACGAGCGATTACAACTTCTGTGTTGATTGTCTGTTTCGATGATTAACAGGGACGGAAGGAGGGGGAGGGGAGGCTCTTGCAATCGAGCAGCATGGTAGGTGGATTTCGCATGCGAAACGACCGCTTTGCGAAATCGCGCTACGGCGGCCGCAGACTTCAACGGAGATGCCTAAGTGAATCGACGGGAATTAACAACCGCGAAATTGGATTGAATTTGTTAATAGCGGATGCCCGCGGACTGTTTCGAACAAAGAAACTGGAAATCCACCGGCTGAGATAAAAATGATTTTCAACCGACATGAGCCGACGCAAGATCTGAAGAATCCGGACGCAAAAAAGAATAATGATAAAGAGTATCCTATTTGCAAACTGGAAATAGTATTTCCTTAAGAGGATGTAAAAGAAAAAAGGAAAAAAAATATTTAAAAAGATATCGTGCCGGTGTCCCTCTCGATAAGAACCGCTAACGAGTAGCGGATTTTCCTCAAAGCAGTCCAAGCGAATTAAACCGAACTGGCTATTCGAGGAAGCGTTTTAGAGTCACCGTCACCGTATTTGGGGCCCGGTCGAGAAGGGAATCGCCGCGAACGTCGAGAGAGAAAAAAAGAGGATCGCGCGCACCCTTGGGGCACACCCTCAGGGACCAAAGGCATTTTGCTCGATTTCCGTGTGTACTAGTTATCCAACGACCCAAACATTACGTAAACTGACATTTTCGCGGCTAATGTGAACCGATCAGCAAGCCAGCTAATCGGCAAGTCGCCAATTCTATCACAACTATCACTAATGGGATTAATTTTCATCGACTAACTTCCCTTACAACGAGTATTTTACCTCGCAACTCAAATTGCTAAACATGCGAAAGAAGTGAAATTTGTGTATTATAGTTTTATAAAAAGAAGAAAAAGTTGATTTAAAATTTCGTTTCGAAACGTCCAGTCCAGAACGTCACTGGTGCATTATGTAATGTAAAATATTCAAGATATTTAAATACAAGTTTATACCGCATTGCCGTTCACCGCTTCGTCTACGGTCGACTTTTCCACTTTGACCTTCGAGAGTGATTTCAAGACACACCGGCGCGAAATGCGCTCCGCGCGAATCGAACTTCTCGCGCAAACGAAAGTTTACTTTGTTGAGGGTCGCGAGGAAGAGTCGAATCGTGCAGATTAAACAAAACGGAAAAGAGTGGCAACAACGTCGTAGTAAAACTAACAGTGACGTAAGCTAAATATTAGTTAAGCATTAAGAGTAAGATTTCAAATTTGCTACGTTCACGTATGAAAGTAGCGAGCGAGTAAAAAGTTAAGGCTAACGTTAAAAAGATGTGCAACACTTACCCACTCTCGACATGACCGCCAGCAGGATCAACACGCTGCTCACGATGATCATTTTCGTGCCCCTATGCTTGATCCTAACCGCTCGACGAATTCACGCAAGTTGCAAATTTCCAATGGTCGATACTTGCTACTCGCTACGTCGAACGATTCGCGCACATATGCGTAAAAATGCTCGCGATGCGTGAGCGCGGGAAACGAAGAATAAGTTAACCGGTGAAACGATGATATCGCGCGAAACGGCCGCGGCGGTTTCGTTTCGTTTCGTTTTTTCGTCGATTATGTTTCTACCGAGCTCGATCCCGCTCGAACGAACACTGGCGGTCTCTGTTGCTCAAGAATTCGGTAAAAATCCAAATGAGGAATAAGGGAAGGAAGGTGGCAACGAGGAGCCGGAGCAGCAGCTTCAATGGTAGCGCCGTTCAAAGCCGTGAGAGCTCCATCCACGTCGCAAAACATATGCTACGGTCACGAAGAGAGAAAGGTGACTGGATATACGCAAGGCGTGCTCAATACCTCCTGTCTTCTTGGCATAGTCACCTTTCTAGCAAAGCAGCAACAAAGAAGGGAGTGTTGGTACTATATCGCGTGGCCACCACCATTCTCGCGTTCACGATCACCGAACGATGGTGGTGGACCACGCTCGCGCTGGTGGTGGTGGTTGCTCGTGGATAATGGTGGTGGTATACCGATCAGCCGCCTTCTTCCACCATCAAATCCGCCTTCCTCCGATCAGATTTTTTTCGTTCCTCGTATCGGTAACCGTGAAACCATTCTCAGCTTACGTGACTCCGGCCGGCCAGAGGAAAAGTTTGACGTGCTCGATCTCTGTGCTCTTTCTCCTGCAAATAAAATGCCGAGGGTTAATTTTGGTCCTCCGCGAGGATACGGTCGTACAGTGTCTAAACGTGAAACGTTTCTTACTTTTCTTCGTGTATTACAGGAATTTTTATTAGAATGTATTATATTTCAGGATAATGTTGCGCAGTCGAGGGACTTATGGAGAAGAAATGGTGGTTGTTTCATGTTTGAGGTGACTCTCTAATAAAGAAACAAATAATGCTGTTGAACGAGTCACAAATAAAAATATGAAAAAATATAAGATCAATGATAAATATATTTTCCCTACAAATCAATTGATTGTAGGTTTGTATAAAAACTTTATTTTCTCGGCCATATAAAATCACCAATATTTGTTCAAACACACGTTACTTTTGACGCAACAAGATTACATTTGACGATCAGCTTCGAATTATAATGAAAACTACGTCAACGTTAAAATAACTTTTCGTTAGAATTAAACGGTTAATGTTCGATACCGCAACAAACGCAAAACTATTGCGAGTAACTTTGTTCGGAATAAAAGCGACCATTTTGCACAGTCCCGTACATAATTAAATTCGTAGAGTGAAGAGTATGCAGGAAAGAAGAATCAGATTTACTCCCCTTGTCGATAAATAGCAACAATTATGTCGAATAAAAAATGCAATGAACAAGAAAAAAAATCCTTTGTTCCTGCTGACCTCCTCGTTATCGAAACGTCAGCGACGTGATAAAAAATATAACATTTCCCATAACATATATATTATAACGTATACCGCGGTTAAAAAATGCCATTGGTGGAATTACACAGTCCTTTTAAATCCTGCATCCGATAATTACGAATATATCACATGATAATTATGAATGTATCACATATATATGTACATTATTTTCATTTCTTATATCGTGGAAACACAAATACGGCATCGAGTTTTATCTACGTGGATCATGTACTTTATCTCCTGGATGTACCAATATAAATGAACATAAACGACTAGACATACTTGCGATATTGTCACAAGTAATTTCTTACTTCCTTTCAAAGGTCGAACCTGAGAGCGATCGAAACTGTACACGTATTCGCGAAAAACAAAAAAGAAAATACGCAACATCTGTATGTATACATATACAACAATACGTAAAATCTTGAAATACTTTCTACATATTTGATTACAATTTACGAATAATCTGTGTGTTCAGATACATAGAGAAACTACGAACGTACGGAGTTGTGTACACATTGAGAAACAAATGAAATATTTTACGCAAATTTACATTTACTAGAACGATGAACCCTGAACAGAGACAAGCATTGATTGACTTCTTTGAAACTTGAAAGAATAGTAGCGTTAATTGTCGTTGATGGATTATTGCAATTTACGTGTAAAAATAACAAAATTATTATCAATAGCTCTCAGATAGTCCACGAAATTGTAAGCTGCATTTCAGTTCTCGCATTAAATAGATCCATCCCTGAGGCTACTATTTTCAAGACTCAATCCGACACAGCTACGTGTTTTTCGTCTGGTTTATATAAAATATTATCTGCACGATAATTATTGTTTCAACGATTAGAGAAAAGTAAGCGTTTGATAAATTTGGTTTTCGAGCGATTTCAATTGACTATGATTAGAATGCTTCGTGTAGCTTCCAAAGGCCGGTTTTCAAAAGTCGA